GAGCTGCCGCTGTCGCCGGGCGCCGCGGCGCGCAGGGCAGCGGGACCGGCCGGGTTCTCTCTGCTTTCTCCAGAGCAAGAAGCACGCCAACAAGGTGCGGCGGTACCTGTCCATCCACGGCGGAGAGGAGCTCGCCCACGGCAAGAAGATGAAGCTGGATGCGAAGCAGGTGAGAGGAGGACGTGGAGCCCTTTTGGGACCTGTGGGGCCAGAGGCTGTTGTATGGCCTGGGCACCTGTATTAAAGAAATGAAGAAAACACTCTTCATTTCTCACAGCTCTCAGAAAAGGCGCTGTGGGAACTGAAGAGCTCGGTGGCAGGTCTGTCACCAAGCTTTGCCTTTGCAAGCACAGTTCCTGCCGCCCTTCCCATTTAAACAGTCCCCAGGAGTAGGTCTTCATCATTTAATCTAACACTCATTGCCTTTTAGTGACAGTCTGCTTGAAAGGGCAGGGAAAAGTGAATAAGAGGAACAACTTGTCAGGTGTTACTGCATAACCTTTGCTGTCACAGAGAGCACGTTGGGTTGACCGTCTACTGGAGTTTTCTTTCCAGAGCTATCCTTTTCTGACTTATTTAGGTTTCCTCGGCATGTTGGTCAGTAAAGGCACCACATTCCACTCGGCCATCTGTCTGCCCCGTGACTCATTTGGGAAACAGATTCTACTTTTATGATTGCTTCAGCTTTAATCCCTCACTCTCCGGTATTTGCGGTGAGGGGGTGGGGGATAAAGGCGGATGCCTTCTCACATAGTGTTAGGCTTAGAAACGACCGCTGCTGCCTTCTCCACTGGCATCGTGTTGCAGATGACCCAGCTGATAGTGATGTTTGTGCTTCTCAGTTCGCACCTTGCGGAGTAAGAGGCTGCCTCTTCCAATTCTGGCAGCCACACACTTAACCTTGTCCTTAACCCATCCAGCCCAGGGCTGCCCCTCTGCCTGGAGCAGTTTGCTGACAGGTTAAAAAATGTAATTCCGTGCAAGGACACTCTCCAGTGAGGGAGAGGATGATGCTGCATCAGGAAAGTGCTACTCAGTCTTACTTCTTCAACTTAACACCCAAATATCTATGATTACTTTGTTTTCCTAGAACCCCGAGCCTTAGTGTTTCTCCTCATAACAAAGAGGTTGGACGAGGTGACCTGCAGAGATCCCTCGCAACCTCAGCCTCTCTGCGATTCTGTGTGCACAGGACAGCAAGCAAGAAGGCAGCAACGGGGAAGACAGGAACAAGTGCTGTCCCATCTGCAACATGACTTTCTCCTCTCCGGCCGTGGCAACGTCTCACTACTTGGGCAAGACTCATGCTAAGAACATGAAGCAGCAGACGCCCAAAGCAGAAGGTATGACTGTCTGCAGCACCTTCGTGTTGTACCGGGGGGCTGTTCAAGCTAAAGAAAAACTTTGGAGATGTTATTGGACCCCAAGTATAAGCTCTTCTGAGGGTGTGCGTACTCTTTCCTGTGAAACCTGCAGTGCACCTCCAGAGAGGTGGCCTCTCTCAGCAGCCTGCTCGGTGGGTGAGCATTGGCTAAAAATTGCATCTTTTTTTGTTTTGCTTTGTCAGGGAGAAACACAGCTTGCAGCAGTGTTGTACCCATCCCTGTGTGCAGGGACCAGGAGAGAGCTGATTTTCAGGGACCATGATGTTCAGCTGCAGAAATGCCAATGCAGGATACGATGCTCGCTAAAAGCTTACAGGGAGTGAAGTGATGAGTGAAACTCCGGCACAGCAAATTTGTCAGGGTTGCTCAACTATAAAGATGAGGGCTCAGGGAGCCTCTGAGGTTCAGGGAGTTGTGAGCTGCAGTTAGCTGGGGACCGGGAGACTTCAGCTGGAAAGCACTGGTATGTGCTTGTCCTGACTTTAGGCTTTTCCCACGGCAGCTGCCCTTGACTGCTCTCATGATGAGACACAGTCCAGGCAGACCTCGGGTCTGACCGGTGCAGCTCCCTGTGTGTCCCTTCCCTTTGCTGGCAGGTGGAAACGCCCAGGGGGTGCAGAGGGAGACTCCCTGCCCAGGACAGGCAGAGGCAGCCAAGAGCCTGGGGTGCTGTAGCTGGTCTGGACAGAGGGAAAACACAGTCTCTGAGTGCACCTGAAGATGGCAGCTTGTGTTAGCTCTGAGCTGAGATCTTCCAGGCAGAAACTGTCGGTCTCAGGGTGTCTTCATGGCTTTGCTAGGTTGTATCTGCACAACAAAGCCACCTCAGGGATGAGGGTGGCCCATGGGACGTTTTTGTCCTTTGAAGCCCCTGCTTTTGGGTATGAGAAGAGCCTTCAGGAAGGGGTGAACGTATGCATGAGCAGTCTGGTGCATCACTTCAATTTCGGCATGAGAGGAGCTCTCTGGTCCTTAGAAGGTTCCTCGCTCTGATCTTTGGTACTCCAGACTGAGAGGGTGCGGGTTTCTCCATCCAACAGGAGAGCTGCTTCTCCGTGTGGATTCACTCCATTGGACCCAGTCCTGTTTATGCTATTTCTCAGGCACAACTCATCACGAAAGAAAAAGTTTAGAGGTGTCCACGGTCCAGGATCAAGCGTTTCCGGAAAGCCACCAGCCTCTGCTGCACAGGGGCTTGTACTCGTATTTGGGCTGTCTCCCTCTTTGTTTTCCCGGGTGGTGACAATAGCAGGTGGAAGCTCGTCTGTGTCCAGTGTTTTTTGGACATGGCCATGCTCATGCTAACTCTGCTATGGAGTGCAAATCTGTTTGGTCTTTTTTTAAGCCCAGACAGTTTTTTCTTGCCTACTCTGCCTTGTCTTGCCACACACCTTTCAATTCTGCAGTGTTAAGGGAAGAAGTAGGAGCAGTGTGAATTTATCTAGGTGTCTTACATTGTCTGTCTAGGTTTGGGGTTTAGGTGTGGTGTTTTGTGTTGGTTTTTTTTTTAATGCAGGTTTTGGGTAAGTAAAATGATTGGGTTTTTATCTCTGAATTCTCTGACTGACCAAGAGTTTGGATTCACCCTACAGAAGCAGCACCCCAACAGAAACATCCTGCTGCCCTCCCCACCTCTACCACATCTTCTAACGAAGAGAACAAGGACATTACTGACCCGGACAAGTTCTGTAGCCTCTGCCACGCCACTTTCAACAACCCCCTTATGGCAAAACAGCATTACGTAGGCAAGAAGCACAGAAAGCAGGAGACCAAACACAAGCTGATGGCCCACTATGGCCGAACCCCTGATGCACCAGCATCGTCCTTCATGGGTGAGTTCTCAGCGGGCAGCGCTGATAAATGGCTGAAGAGCAGGGGGGGAGAGCCACAGTCTGTCAGTCTGTGTCTGAGAGAGCTTTGGAAGAGAGAGCCCATGCGGAGGGAGGAGGGGAGGATTGTCCATGATGGAGATCTTGGTTCTGCACTGTAACATTGGTGTGGTTGATGTTGTAACCCCCGGCAGCAAGAGAGGTTTTAGGCTGTAGCTTCTCGTGACAAGATTTGGGTTGTGTTTTGCAATTTTTTTCTAATCGGGGATGTGTCCTTTTTATTCTCTGTGCGGATAATCCAGGGATTTTGGCCAGTGCTGTTTCTAGCTAGGTGGATTGCATCCAAAATGGAAAGATAAAAGTAGCATTTGATGCTTAAGAAACTTCTTCAGAGGGCACTAGCCAAAGATGCAAGAAATAGGTTTAACTGCACCTGCTGCTTCAAAGGACATGAAAGCCAGAGAGATTTCTCCCTGAATGCCTTTCTGCCTCTGTGTAGGCACTTCCATCTGATGAACTAACACAGCTCTCTCTGGAGCAAGCAGGAATGTGGGGAAAAAAGGAGCTATTAAGGAGGAACTTTAGGCAGACAGTTACAACACATTTGGTTTATGATCTGCTGCTTATGAGCACTTCTACGTGATGAAAGCCCTTGGAGTCCAGTGAGAGCATTAGGAGCTCAACAGTAAACTCCCTTGTTCTTCCCAGCAGCCTCCTGGTGGCCCAGGAAGTCTAATACCTGCTGGAGGCTTGAAGTAAATAATAAGCAGACAAACCATCTTACAGTCTTCTTCGGGGGCTTCTTTCTCTGTCGTAAAAGCCCACACAAGCAGGAGATTAATTATTCTAATTCTTTGCAGGCCACCTTTAGGTCTTGGTAGCACTTATGAGAAATGAGGCTCAATTGTTCGAGTAATATTCTCTCCCACGTTGCATAGCCATGTGGGAGATGGAAAAGGTGCTTGGTATCCAGCTCTACCCATCTGCTCTTTACCCAGTTAGTGGGGTCTGATGAATGGCTCCACTCCAGTGTGACTCAGGTGCTGACAGTGGCAGGAGCCCCAGCCCAGGCAGGGTGGGTGGGCAGCACCCTTACCTGTGTGAGTGAACTGCGGTACCTATGGACACATTTCCGTGGCACTTGAGCAGTTCAGGTGAGGTTTTGGAACCTGGGCCGTAATCAGGGGCTGTTTGGATGTAATGGGCTGCAGTCAGGGATGTTTTCTTCTCTCTTTGCCCGTCTCTGTGTGCTTACAGCCCTGCCTGTCCTTAAACTCCTCTCTGCTGGGATCTGGCTGGCAGCAGGTAAAGATGTGCTCTTCAGAGTGCAACACCGCAGTGTTTGCTTGAAGTTCCTCTAGGAAACACTGCTTTGAGGTGCAGGGGTGCAGTTTAGACAATTTTGTGCACACCTGTTTGCTGGATTTGCAGTAGAGAGATGTTGGCCTTGATCATGCGGGGAGGCAGATTTGAGGGCTGTAACTGCTCCTCTGGCCTTCCCTGCCTGAGTCCAGCTCTGTTTTTAGAGCTGAATGACCCCTAGAGCCTGAAATCTCTCTGAGGTGCAGCAGCCAGGTAGGGAGATGTCTGCTACATCCTGTGCTGTGCTTCTCACTTGGTGATTACGCTGCTCTGCACCCCTGGGGTGAGTCCCTTTCACCTTAAGGAATTGTTTTCTTTGCAAGACTCCCAGGCAGAGCCCTTCCCCAGCGAGACAAAATTCGGGATCGCTTAAAGTCTTGAGGACAACTGCCAGGATTTTCCCCTGTTAGGGACTCCCGTGCTTAGCTGTGCTGCCATGCTTGCCTGTTTGGTATCTGCGACCTCCTGAACTTCCATTCTAGCTGGGGTTGTCATGTTACACAGAACCATTGATCTGTCTAGTACCACTATTGTGGGAAAGTTGTTGGTTTTTTTGCAGTTAACTGATACGCTGGCTGTAACCAAACTGCTGGAGGATAAAGCTTAATATTCTCAGTTGGCACCTCAGCAAGGCTCAGCAGAATGCCGCATTGTGGAAGTGGACGTTGTGTGTAATCTCCTCTGGCTGCTTTTGTCTTATTGAGACACTTTAAGCTTACAAATTAAGTATCTCCCTCATTTTCTGTTAGGAGACAAACAGATCAGGAGAAGTGGGAATTTGGGAGAGAAACGGAGTTGCAAAAGCTGTATAACATAAGGTTTGGTGCCCTAATGCTGAGATTTTGACTATGTCTGATACAGTGAACTGTTTATAGGAAATGTGTCTTTGTTTTTATAGATAAACAAACCTGTGTTCTGACCAGAAAAGCTTTTGTGGCTTAGCAGTTCCCTCGCAGTGACTGGCCGATACATGGTGGGGTAGTGGGATTCTGTGACCTCCCTGCCTGGTCAGGTTATTGACTTGCTATTTAGCAGTTGTTTAACACGTGAAGTGATTGATTATCTCACTTGTTTCTACCTCAGGCCCCAATTGTTGGCTAGCTGTGTGTGCTAACATTGATGTCTGTTTCAGCTGGGAAGGGGTACCCCTGCAGCACGTGTAACATAGTACTCAACTCCATAGAGCAGTACCAAGCTCACATCAGTGGCTTCAAACACAAGAATCAGTAAGTAATTTTCTTGTCCAAGTGCGTTTCCAGCCTCACTGATCAAATCAATGGCTCAAATATAACTTAAAATGCAGTTTGAATGTGTATTTCCAGCTGACGTGCAAGCAGAACAACAGGGTTTGTGCAAGCTTGCTCCGTTTGTCCTGCAGCGGATTCGCTCCAGCAGCTCCCTCTGCAGACAGCTCTGGGTGCTGCTGGAGTGGAGCTGCCTGGCAGTGGCTGTTGGTTCCTCGTGGCTCAGCTCAGCAGGGACCTTTGCAGTGAGCGAGTCCAGCCTGGCACCCATTAAACACCGTTTCTCTAACAACTGAGATTTTAATTTAATTAAAGACTGGCTCAGTGGAGATCTGCTTGCCATTCTAATCTCTCTTGGGACTGCTTGTCTTAAAATTTGGTGTGTAGTCAGCACGCTCCAGAAACTGTATTCCTGAACTCACTCTCGCAGCTGGCGAGTTAAATAATGGCATCTCCTGCAGGTATTTTTAATCTGAAAAAAACAAGCTGCCAGATAATGAATACTAAAAATACTTGTTCTGGACACTGACAAAGTTCAGATCTCTAATTTCAAAGCCCTTCCCTAAAAGAGGCTCAGTAATGAGCCTGGGTTGGTTACGGAGCTTCTTAGAAGAAAGAGGTATTAGGAAACCCTACCTGAAGTGAGGGCAGCCTCGTAGCCAAATTTCCCAAAGAACACAGGAGGAAAACGGGGATCTCATGTTGCCCAACTGTGGAATAACAGCCCCATGGTCCCTTTGCTCTCTGGAGCACTTGGTTGGAAGACAAATGCTCCATCTGTCATTCCAGGAAAGTTTCTGCTCTTGAACAGCACAACTGGATTAGTGAATAGCCGGTATCCCAAGCTATATAGGTAACATTGAGGATGTTCCCAACACACACACATCAGTGTTCCTTTGAGGACATGGATGTTGTCGGAGTTTTCGCAGCCACACAACTCCCTTTCAGAAAGCTGCTTCTGCATGCAGCTGTTCGGTCCTGTTCCAAGGCAGCTTCTGCAGCTGGGAGAGAGGCTGGGTACTTGCTTTGTAATGGCAGCTCTTTAACAGTCCTTGGGCTGTGCGGTCGCTAATTCTGCCATGCTAAAGGTGTCTGTTTACACACAGGCACTGAGGGCGAGGATGCACTTGGAAGCTTTTCTGGCAAGTTGTTGACTTGGCTGCAGCAGGCTGTTGCTCCACTGACAGCCGTGCCTGCTGAGCTGTGATTGCAGCTGGCAGATTTCAGAGCGCTTCTGACATTGTCTCCTTTTCGTTTTTTCCCTTTCTCTTGCTCCCCTCCATGTCCAGGATGCCCGGAGCAGTGCCAGTTGTTGGACCGTTCCCGTCACAGCAGTATGTCCGGGAAGAGTCAACTGCCCCAGGAGGCTACAGTTATTTCAGCCAAGACTTCTAGAGCAAGTTGCAGCACTGTTCTTGGAGTTGTTGGTGGCCCAAGAACGCACATCCTTTGCCAGCCCACAATGGTTTCATTATCCCTCTGGATAAGCAAAGCCCTACCCTCCTGTATGCACCCGTTGAGCAGAACGGGGACTGAATCCGTCAGAAAAAGCATCCAGCTGGAAGAGACTTGCTAGACAGCAAATACTTCACTCCCTTAGAGTAGTTTTCATTGTGTAATTGCTTCCTGTGAAGGTGGGTGCAGTGTGAGAGGAAGTGTGTATCTGGTATAAAGAGGGTTTGGCAACAGGCGAGTAGTGGCCACCTCCTCCCTCACCAGAGCAAATAATGGATTCCTGAACCTGAGGGCCAGCCTCCCATGCCCAGAGATGGCTTTTGCTGGAGGAGAGCTCCTAGACCGTAGCAAGCAGTGCTTACGCAGCGTGGATGGGACACAGTGCAGGTTGCCTGGCTTTGTACAGGCCTAAAATAGGAAATAACCAGCGTGGCAGCTCTTTCCATGCCTCCTCCAGTCAGGTTTGTGTGCAGAATTTTGTGAGCCACTGCTTGCCATTAGAGCCTTCACAGTATCACAGCCGTTGGGTCTGGAGCTGGGTTGTGTGGGTCTGTGAGTGAGTACAGCCTCTGGTGTGCAAACTGCTTCTGGGGGGAGCGGGGGACTGTGAGAGGAGCTTGAGCTCCTGCTCTCCGGACAGCCCAACCCTCTGCTGTGAGGATTTCCATGTGGAAGGAAGTAACCGTTTAGCCTGGTTTCCTATGGAAACAGGCGTACGTCGTCATTCACCGTGTGCGTCTTCTCCCCCCATGACTTAAACCAATCTCAGCCAAACTTGGCAGCGGTGGAGATCTCCAAGATCTGAATGCAGTCAGCAGAGGAAGGTAGAGCAGGGTGAGTTCATCTCTAATTCTGAGGGTCTGAGTGGAAGTGCAGCATCTTCCCTACTACCACCAAAATATTCTGGGGAAGGAGGGTTTTAAAGGAAAAGAGAGAGAATAAATGTAGATACAGCAAGAAACTGTAGTATAACTTGGGCAAATCGCTAGCTGACTAAAAGCTACAAATGCTTTGGAAAGCTGCCTTTGTTATTCCTTCATTAGACACTACTTGCCCAACCCCTCTCTTCAAAGTTCTTACGCGTTTGTACTGTCCTGGAAAAGGGATGTTCCATATTTCAAACCCGGAAATTAAGACTGATGGTCTCTTCATGGTGCTAATGTACTGGATCTGTTAGGAAAGGCCCCGGAAGGAAGGGCAGGCATCTGAGACTGTTGTGCATTTTGGACAGTTTCTTTAGATGTTTTGCCTTAAGCTAAGGCATCGCCTCTTCTTTGCGAGCTCACCCCAGGAGCCACGTGTGTTGGGCTGGCCTCATGTTCAGTGTCGGTGCCTCTGTGGACCTGATGTGCTAGTCCGTGGCAAGCATCCTGCTGGTTTTCTTCCGTGGGGCAGAAGGACACAGATGTGGCCCCTCCGAGGACTTGCCTGGCCGGTGGGGCTCAGTGGGGCTGGCAGGACGGGTGACGGCCGTGGGCAGGCCACACTGCCAGGGTGGGCTGAGCCAAGCTGCTGCCTCCCTTTGCGAGGCCTTGGCAGCTGCTGGAGGGTGGGCTGGAGCCCTTGGCTCCCAGCGTTTTGTGCCAGGGGAGCAGCTGACACCCTCGCAGGGCTGGGAGCTGGGCTGTAGAGGCACTTCCAAAATCCAGTATGTGCTGGTTGGGATAAGCAAAGAGAGAGAGAGAGCTGGTTGCTAATTGAGTGCTTGGAGCGAGTGCCTTCCCTTCCCCACTCCAGGCCGTGCATGAGCTTTGTTTTTCTTCACCCTGCACAGAATCTGCCATCTTCCCTTAGGACAGGCTCCTGCTGGTCTGGGTTTGCCTTCCTAATGTTTTCCAGTCTTGCTCCACTGCTGAGGTCTGACCTTAGTCTCCAGCTACAGAGGGAGTCCTTTTAAACCTCACAAGCTGATCAATGAGCAGAAAATTGCGATGAACCGAAGGAGGCGTTGTCCGCCTGATAGCCCTGGATGGCCTCCAACTCCGATCTCTGCTGCTTAGCTCTGGTCCCGCTGCACCAGGGCAGGTGCCCGCTAGATGTGCTGTGTATCGACACCAGGAGGGATCCATTGCCAGCGCTGCCCAGTCCGGTGTGTCACTCCTGTCTGTGTACTGACAGTTTTGCCTTCCCCTGTACACAGTGTTTGTGTATCTGCTGTTTCCCCAAGGTGAAGCTCTCCAAATAGAGTGTTTATTACTACTTTTGGGTGCTGTCTCTCTGCTAGAGCCCTATCTGGGATTTTGCCAGACTTCAGAGAACAGGATGCAGACGCCTGTGAAGTATTTGGGAGGGGTGGGAGGCCTGTGTTCCCATGTGCCCTCATCGAGGCCCTGCTCTCATCCCATGGCACCCTGAGGGCCAGACGAACGCAGTGCGTGCCTTCCTCTGTGCCGCTCTGGTGAGTCATCGTGGCCTTGGGCACACCGCGGTCACCAAGGGGAAGATGGGACAGTCTGGGCTGGGAGGGTGCTGGCACTGCTGCAAGCTGTTGTGCAGCTTGTGCTGAAAACATCCGCGATTGCCACAGGACGCTGGGCTGGTCCCTGGCACAGCCGTGGCATCATGGCAGGACGCTGTGCTGCTAGCTGTTCATACACAGCTCGCTGAGCTGGGCTCCAGTGCCTGGAACTGGCTGTCCTGTTCCTGTCCTGCACAGGGGAGCAGCACAGGGCCTTGTGCTGGGACCAAGGGCTGTACCCCTGTCACATCCCCTTCCCCGGCAGTGAGATGTCTGGCGGGGTAGCCACAATCTGGTGGCCCTGCCAGCCACGCTGGGGGCTGTGGTGCTCATGGTGGATCTATGCTAGCCCCGACCCAGGTAGGTGCCAACATCACTGGTGTCCCCGTGCTGTTGGTGGATTACTCTCAGAGGGCACCAACACCATGGGGCGCAACACGAGGGGAGCTGGAGCCTGGCTGTGGGACCAGAGTCACCATGGGAGGCTGAGGACAGAGCACAGCTCTTGTCCCCAGGTTGCACACCAGTGCCCCTGCCTGGCTGTGGCCTGGGTTGCCCAGTCCTGCTCCTCCCTGCCCGGGCCTCTGCCGGCAGCACCTCGCTGGGTTGGGGCTCTGGCTGCCTGCGCCC